AAGGAAGGAAGGAAGGAAGGAAGGAAGGAAGGAAGGAAGGAAGGAAGGAAGGAAAGCAGAGCCCAAAATTCAGAAAGAGATCATGATCAAAGATGTAATCATCATGTATAAAGATGCTATACAAAAATCACAGAACTGGACAGAATGTCCTAGGAAAAAAATGTATTGAGACTAGAAGCCCACCCACACCAAAACCAGAAGCTAAGAGAAAAAAGAAGAGAAGCCAGAAAAGGAAAAGTGAAAGAGCAAACACCAAAGACGAAGAAATTTCAGGTGAATTTGGTGTCACAGAAGCCAAAACAAGAATGTCTTTGAAGAAGACAACTGTCGCTGAGATATCGGGGCATGTGACAGTGGGACATGCCATAATTCAGCTACCTGGAAGGCTGAGGGAGACGAATTCACAGTTTGGGTAGCTTAGTTGGACCTTATCTTAAAATAAAAAATTAAAAATGGGCTGCAGCCAAGTGTGGGTGGCCCATGCCTGTAATCCCAGCATTCCAGAGGCTGAGACAGGAAGAGAGCTGTGAGTTCAAGGCCAGCCTGGGCTACATCATGGGTTTAAGGCCAGCCTGAATTACAGAGCTAGGCCCTGTCTCAAATAGCAAAAAGGGTGAGGGGCCAAGATGGCGACTCCCATGCATTGCCTCATAGCACAGAGACGAGCTGAAGCAAACAAGCAACATGTAAGGTGTCAGAAATGCTTGGAATTTGGACATTGGATTTATGAATGCGCTGGGAAAAGAAAATACCTACGTAGGCCCTCAAGAACAGGCGAACTAGAGAAAGCTTTAAAACAAAAAGAAAGCAATATTATTACAGCAATGGTTGAGGACTACAAGAGTGAGGAGAGTTTGTGGTTTATATGGAGATGTTTTGTAGGATGCTGCCCCCCAACAGTTCTCAGTTTTGTATCCCTAGACATTGGAGGGGCCAGGGAGATGGCTCAGTGGAGTAAGCGCTTCCCTGGCAAGTGCAAGGACCTGAGTCCAATCCCCGGTTCCACAAAAAAAAAAAAAAAACCTAGACATTGGAGAAACTAATGTAGAAAGAAAAACCAAAAAGGAAAGGGCCAAGAGCGTAAAGAGTTCCAGTAGAGACAGCAGCAACAGCTTAGCCAGCGACTCTTCCTCAGAGAGTGAAGACTCATCTATCTCTTCCTCCTCAGAGGACAGCGATTCCTCCAGCCTCTCCAGCTCCTTGTCTCCTCCACAACCCCTTTCTTTCCTCCGACTCAGACTCGAGCTCTGCCAGCAGCAGCACATAGAGCAGCTCTGAGGAGGAGCCTTCCGAGGAAGAGGAAGAAAAAAATAGAATGTCCCCTCCACATCGGACCAACGAACTGAAAATTCCCTTGAGATTCTCACAAGGGAATTAGACAATATTCAAGCCAACTAGGTTAAATTGTTCAGAATTTCTAGAGTTCAAATTTCTAAGTGTTTTACATTGCACAAGCATAAAGAGCATTAAAAATGAGCTATATAAAGACTTCTGTTTTGGAAGTGAATCTTTTTATTTTTAATCTTTAAAAGGTATCTCTAGAATTTGAGACTAAAATCCAGCAAGTTTGATTTTGTGATGAAACTTATTTTTCTCCCTGTGAAATGAAAGCTGTGCTGTTATATGTTGATGGTATATTTTGGACACATTTTCAGGATAATTTTCTTAAAGAGTATCTGGCAGGGAATTTCTAACCTTATGTAGAAATGTTAAACTAGTCAGTTGTGTTATTATGTAAGATTAACATTGTTGCTATAAATATGGGAGTTTTCCTACTGTTAATAAATGCACTCTATTAAAAAAAGAAAAAAAGAAAAAAAGGTGAGGGCTTTGCTGGGGATGTAGTTAGCCCATCCGGATTAAATACCCAGTACCACCATCAAAAAGTGTAGGAGCTGGGTACGTGACAGCCCAGCTACTTGGGAGGCTGAGGCAGAAGAACCACTTGAGCCCAAGACTTGGAGGCTAGCTAGGGCAACACAGTGAGATGCCATTTCAAATAAATAAATAAATAAATAATAGATATTATGTGGTATAGAAGATATATAGATATACAGATATCCTACGTAATAGATATATATTATGTGATTAATAGACATACATTTTTTCTTTCTTTTTTTTTCTTTTTTTGGTACTGGAGATCAAACTCAGGACCTTGTGCTTGCCAACCAGGCATTTATACCACTGAGCTATTTCCCCAGCCTTTTTTTTTTTTTTTTTTTAATTTTCTGCTTTGCTGAACAGGAATCAGAAAAAGTGCCAGTATGATTCTCCTCTGGGAAACTTACCGAGATGGCTCATCATCTAGTTTTATGGATGCCCCATTAAGTTAGAAAAGAATGTGAGGGCTAGGGAAATAGCTCGGGGGTCTATACGCCTGTCTGGCAAGCACAAAGACCCAAGTTCGATCCCCTGTACTGCATACCATGCCAGCCCTGGAACCTGGGCGTGTTGCGCTGGCCTGAAACTGGGCATGGTGGTTCATGCCTGTAATCCCAGCACTGGGGAGCTGAGACAGGAGGATCACTATGAGTCTGAGCCACAAGACCCTATAGCAAATAAATAAATAAGAAAAGAATGTGAATTTTCCATAGTAGATCAACTGTACTGAGAAAGAGCAAGTGACCCCACAGTGACCACTGTCCCTTTATCATTTTAACACAATAAAGATTGATTCCCCCTCACTCCAGACCAACATGCATTGAGTGGCTCTGCAGAGCAGCTCTGCTCCTTGTGGCTCTCTGGGGACTGCTCAGGGATTCAGGAAACCTCTGTCTTCTGGCTCTGCCATCAAATCCCTGGCTGTCACCAAGACAGAAGAAAATTTTGAGGGGGGCTGGCCTGATAGCTCAGTGGACTAAAGCACCTGCTTAGGCAGAGTGGAGCGGCTGGGGTTTGATCCCTCATGAGCCATGCCAGCCCCGCCCCTGGGGCACATTGAAACAGGATTGAGACTGGGCATGGTGGCACACGCCCATAATCCCAGCACTTTGGAGGCTGACAACAGGAGGATCACTATGAGTCCTATCTGTGTAGTGAGACCCTGTACATCCTGGACTAAATACATTAAAGAAAAAAAAGATGCTTCCAGTGTGCCTGAGCAAATGACAGAGTGTGAAGTCATTTGGGGCTTTAATAGTTAGGAAACTAGAATAGTTCAACAACTCACTTTCAAGGGGCTGGGGCTTGCCTGGCAAGCGCAAGGGCCTGAGTTTAATCCCTGGTTCCGCCAAAAAATAAGAAGAAGAAGGAGGAGGAGGAGGAGGAGGAGAGAAAATTTTGAGAAGGAGTCCCAGCTGTCAAATGCTTTGCATCTAATTCATTAACAATACTTAATCTCATTTCACTGGCTATAAGAAATCACATCACCTTTCCTTCCTGCAAGACAACTGTGAAGTGCCGTGCTTCCATAAGTCCTGGAGGAAGGTCAGAACCAAATACGGAAACGCAAATAGCCTTTGCAGTAAGATCCAAGGTTTATCTGTGTGTGCATTTATAGTATAGGAATGCAGAGATGGCTGCACTGGCAAACGCGGTCCTCCATTCATCTGCCTGCCTGACCTCAGGCAGCTTCACTATTCCAGATCCCAATTTCTCTATTTATGAAACACCCATTTCAGGAGCGTTATGAGGATATAATGAGTTCATATTCATAAAGCATGTAAAATAATCCTTGGCATATAAATACTGGATTTGAAAAGGAAATAAAATATACAAATGTAAAATATCTCTGTCTTCACTAATTTTTCTTTTGCTTGATTTATCCATTTTTGAATGATTAGTGTAAGTTTCCTCCAGTATTTTTAAAAAAATTCTCCTGGTATTTTGAACAACTTTGTTTAATATGTGCAGTTGCTCTATTATTATTTTTGTTTATGATAATTAGATCACTTAAAATAGCTTGTGTGGCTTTAACGATTTTCTCTGAATTTTGTTCTTTGTCTTATAATTTCTGGTTTTTATTTTATTGCCAATTACCTATTTTTTTCTTTATCTATTCTTTTATCATATATTGTTTTATATTAGGTTTCTGTCTTATATGCAACATAAAATATTTTTTTCTTAATGGAAAAATATTTGACCTTTATAATTGGATTTAACCCACTCATATTATAAATTAAACGCATGGGGCCATCCAAATAGCTCAGTGGATTAAATCACCTGCAAGCAGGTGCAGAGGCCAGGAGTTCAATCCCCAGGCCTGTCGTGCCAGCCCCGCCCCAGGGGCATGCTGAGAAAGCAATTGAGACTGGGTGTGGTGGCACATGCCTGTAATCCCAACTCTTGGGAGGCTGTAAACAGGCAGATTCCCTAGGAGTCCAATCTAGTAGTGAGACC